TCCCCTGCAAGTGGACATTGGTGGAAGGATGCTGGGGTCTCCTCCAGGATGTTGTCATCTGCCCTTTTTTCAGGACTCTGTTCATTTGTTTCTCTCTCTACCAGTTGGCACCTGACAAAACTTAAGGTCTTTTCATGCTGAGTGGCATTGTCCTCCTTCCTTAGAAGGGTATTTATTTGTTCATCCATGCAGACTACCTAGTTGAAACTTAGATTTAACAGATAGGCTGCTGTTTTCAGGAGGCCACTCAGAGACTGCTTCCAAGCTGGAGACAGAGAAATGGAGTGGCTTTGAGGGCTGTAACTGGGAGACTTCTGGAGTTGCTATTGTTCAGCCCTGCAGCACCCCTCTCCTGGTGCTCTCTGATATTCCCATGTTAGGAAGATAATTCAAATGTAATTTGAAGCTTGCCCTGTAGCTAAGACAGTCACTTCTGCCCCTCCTGCTGGTGGTAGCTCTGTTAACAACTGATTCCTTATTTATAACTTCAGCAATACCTAAATTTTACACCAGTGATTTCACATTATTTCCCTCTTGCTATGTCAAATAGTTGAGAGTACTGTCACATTCCCCCATCTGTGCATGCAGTTGGCACCAGGAATGGGACATGTAAATATTCTCAGGTATAGAATACATGAAGCTTCAATAGAATAAACTATTTGGCTATAAGGCTCAGAACTATTCCTACAGAAAAGCTGTACAACTTTTTAACTGAGTCCTTTTTTGGGGGTTGGGGAGACAGGTCCTGGAAAATCATTTGACTGAATAATATTTACAACTGCTTTTAGGTTCTGGTCTGTCTAGCAAATAACATGCTGGGCTTCTGAACATGTGGCAGCGGTTTATGGCTTTAGGAACTGGATCCTCTCTAACACGGTTATTTACTATTCTTTTAAGTAAAATGGAATTTATATAAAATCATCACACTTGATACCCAGTGGATGCCAGCTTGGGAGTTGATTGCATAGCTCTGCAGTTTTGTTTGTCATTGCTGGGGTGTGGGGGATGAGCTCCAAAAGGCAAACTCTATAGCCTCCAGTGTTTGAGCAAATCCAGTTGCTTTGACGGGGTTTGTTCATGTGCAGCTGCTGTGTTCAATTGAAAGGCTGTGTCAGGAGAGATTGCCTCTGTGGATTGAGGTCCTCGGGCCTACTCTGCATGCCAACAAGATCTAAAACATTCTCAAGCCCACGTATCTCATCTCTGTCTCTTTCTATATCATCTTAAAACAAACAAGTTTTCAACTTTCCATCCTCCAGAGGCAGCCAGTTCTTGTGTGAAAATAATACGTGATAAACCCCACTTCCTCTGTATGAGAACCGGAGGCTTTCTGCTTGCGTTGCTGACTCTTCATGTGTCCTATTGTTTGAGCAGCTAATTTTTTATTCTTTGTCTTTTGTTTTTGGATTGCCCATTTTGCCATTTGCAGCTTCAGCACTGTGTTAGAGATTTATTCCCATATTAGAGGACTAATTGGGAGAAACGGCATAGTTAAGGGGCCAGACTCTATCAGGAATTAAGCCTTTGTGCAGTTTATTTCCCAGTAAGGTTTTTCAACAGGACGTATTTTAAGATCTGCTTGTTTTGGCTTAGGAGGATTGTGCTTTTCTTGACTTCATTGTTATAAAGCCCCAGAGCCTGGCAAGCCAAGAGATTCCAGAAGAGATGGACAGTACTGCCTCTGGCCAGAGTCTGCTGGATTCCTGCTCTCTGACAGGCAGCTGTTGCCTGTGGTACAGCTCTGTGTGTGTAAGTTACGGTGAAAGGAAAAACAGGATATCCAGAGTTAAGAACAGGCAGGATCGGAGCAAGGAGAAAGGTGTCTGATAGGTTAGTGCCACCCATCCTGATGCTGAGCCTGGAGAAATCCCTGGTAATGGAGTTACTTGGCTTAATTTCTAGAGTGAGAAGCCCAGTTCCCCATGGCTCTGGTACAGGTGGAGAAGAAATGGGCTTGCTTCACCCTTGTTTTCCCGGCATTGGCAGGGAGGTCCTAGGGTGACTGGGCTATTGTGCTGTTCCTGAGCCTCTGCGGAGTTCTTAGTTGAATCATCTTCTCTGATCTGCAGACTGATGCTGCATGTTCCTAGGTGTTTCAGAACACTGAAAATGCTCCTTGGTAGGAAATACTAATTTTATCTGGAGGGTTGTGTTAGCATTGGGTCAGCTTCCAGCTTGGAAATGCCTTTCAGCAATAGCTTATGCCTGAAGTCACTATGCCTTAGCAAGTGGTTTCACATAGTCATTGGTGGTGTTTTAACAGTTAAGTCTCGCATGTCTTCTGTCATGAAATTGGAATGTTTTATTTGGAAGAAGCTACACTTGTTACCAGCTGTGTCTTTAATGTATCAGTGTAACACCTGGTTGACTGCCTCTGTTAGAAACCTCTTAATGTTAGCTGATACTTAGTTATATTACAGATGTAGTGCTCTGTAACATTTTTATATAGGAACTGTCCTTCAAAATTTTTCTTTAGATATTTGCCAATTCACTACAGTGTCAGAGCCCACCACAACTGTGCTGAAAGAGGTTATTGTAATTTTCCAAACAATGTCTGACAAGAAGGTAGCCTTAAAGATGCCCCTGGCCTACACAGCGTTCAGGTGGATTTTAATTTTTCTTTCTACCCATGAACAGGCCAAGGGGCAAATGAACTGCTGAGAACTCAGTAACTAGCTTGTAAGTTGAGTTTTCCTTGTAATTTATATAAATTCTGGCCAGACTTCTAATGAAACTATTATTCTGCTGTGGGAGAGGCTGGTGCATCTCGGGTCCTGCTGTTTGATACGTTTGCTGCTGTTCACAAAACCAGCTACTTCTGGCAACAGCTTGTAATTTAACAATATTCTTGATTACAGATGGCCACTGCACCATACCCTTTGCAGCATGAATGGAGCTGCACATTAAGGGTAATGTCTGGTAACACAGCAGCTTGCGAATGTGTATTTTTCTCCCTTATTTTCCAGTGCATGCATATAAGTACCATTGTACTCATGAAGCAAAAAGTGCTAGTTTCATTCTCCATCTCAGCAGTGTCTTGCCTCCCAACGATGGAAGGGTCTAAATGCTGTTGGGATGAGGTGGTTTTGTCTGCTGTGATTAGGTCAAATATGTGTGCAATTTGTTCCCTTTCTGCTAAAGGAATCAGCTAGATATTTTTATCCTTGAGAGGCCACATGCTCAGTTTTGCTCTGGTTAAGCACAAGTATGTCAGAAACAGTTATTTTTTCCCCTTAGAAGGGAGGATTTTGCCTTGTTCTAGTGGATAGGGTTTTTTATCCTTTCTTAGCGCAGGTAAATGGTCATAATCCTATTTTTTGGCAGTCTTACATTAATGGAGCTGCAGCGAAGGTGATGTGTGTGAAGAGGGTGGGGAAGAGGTGGAAACTGATGTGACTTCAGGTAGCTAAAAGCTGCTCCTCAAATGCGGGATGTAAATGTCTTGTGAACCCCCTGTCAGTAGGGAGCATGCTCCAAGGTAAAGCCAGCAGCTCTTTCCTCACTGTTAAAGCCTGCAGAGTGCTCTGCCACCTTTTTCATCTTTGTTTCCAGTAGTGTTTCTTGGCCATCCTTGTTGGATTTACTGTGGATTTACTAGGTTGGGTTTACTATGGGAGGACTAAACAGCGAGCTGCATCAGTGGTGAGGAGGTAGTTATTTTGGGGAGAAAGCAAACATTCATCTGAAGATGCTTCGTCTCTTAAAACCTTCCAGTGCAGCTTGCCCTCTTGATGGATGAGCTGCCAGTTTTCTTTACTCTGCAAGCTCCTGAAGCCTGGGTGGTTTGTTCCCTGATGTGGTGTGGCCATACAGGTGTGACACCTCCAGTGTCCCTAGAGAAACTGCTTGAGTACCAGGGTGAGGAATCAGTTTGGGATTGTTAACAAGATCCCGTTTTGTTTTCTCAAAATGTTCTAGCTCCTCCAAGTTAGGAGAAGGCAAGGAAAAAGACATCGCCTTATTTTGGGATGATTTCATGTATGGCAGGTATAATTAGCTGATCTGAAATGAATCTTGAGTTCAAAAAGCTGCTTGTTGTTGAACAGAAGCAGTGACTGACCTTGAGAGGTTGCCCTCACTTCAGGCACTTTTCTCTCCTGTTCTCACAGCTTGGGTGGGTGAAAAGTCTGTCTTTAAGCTCTGTAGTTTTAATTCTGTGTTTCCTCTTAACAGGGTCACCTTGTCCTCCACGGACTGTTACATCGTGCATGAGATCTACAATGGAGAGAATGCTCAGGACCAGTTTGAGTACGAGCTGGAGCAGGCCCTAGAAGCACAGTACAAATACATAGTGATAGAACCCACTCGCATTGGGGATGAGACGGCCCGCTGGATCACTGTTGGGAACTGCCTGCACAAAACGGCTGTGCTAGCGGGCACCACCTGTCTCTTCACCCCTCTGGCACTTCCAGTAGATTATTCTCACTACATCTCCCTGCCTGCTGGTGTGCTGAGTGTGGCTTGCTGCACCCTCTATGGTATCTCTTGGCAATTTGATCCCTGTTGCAAGTACCAAGTAGAGTACGATGCCTATAAACTTTCCCGCCTGCCCCTGCATACGCTCACCTCCTCCACTCCGGTGGTGCTGGTGAGGAAGGACGACCTGCACAGAAAGAGACTGCACAACACGATAGCACTCGCGGCCCTGGTGTACTGTGTAAAGAAGATCTATGAACTCTATGCTGTATGACTTCAGCAGGGAAGAGAGAAACCCACAAAGACAAGTGTATTAAGACTCCCACAGTAACATTTTGTTTTTCCTCTTTGAGAAGCAGTGGAGACTGGGAAGGAGTTGGTTTAATAGAGCTGTTATTTTTAAAATAACACATCACTGGTGCACCAAGGTTTTTCAGTTCTTTGTTACACTTAAGATGTGGATGTGTGGTGACTTGAGAGGTGTATGTTAGGCCATGGGAGTCCAATCCAGCAGCGGAATGTCAATGAAAGAAAGATATAGAAAGGGGGTGTGAGAGCTTTTTTTTTTTTTTTTTTTTTTTTTTGAAACATTTAAGTATGTTTAATTGTATTACACAGAACCAGCCAGAAGTTATCATTGACCATTAAAGGATGAGAATTTCAAATGCTTTTGCTCTCTTGTTACTGTTATCATAGTCTCTTTTGTAGTGTGCTTCCAGGGGATGGAGGCTTTGCAATAAGAACTTCAGCAGTGTGATAACTCTTTATGCAGGCTCACACGTAGCCCTTGTATTCCTCTTGTCCATTGCACAGCACCCATGTTACTTCACAGCAGCCATCTGTTGAAGGAGTAGCTGTAGAGTGTTGCTTTCCCTCTTCCTTGACTAGTTGTGTTTCTTGGAAGAGGCTTACTTGTTACCTCACTGTTTATATATTTTTGGTAATTCAACATTGATGGTTGGGGCTAAAGCTGTGTGAATCCTCCACTGCCCTGCCACCTCCAGCCATTACCTCTCTGCATGATGGAGAGAACACTCTTTAAATTTCCAGCTACAAACACATTCTGCTCAGTTCCCATACGAGTTTTCTGATGTGGATGCCCCTCCACCGAAGGCTGTGCCATGAGCAGCCAAGTGCTGCTGAGATGGGAATCCTGCTGTCTTTCTTACCTTTGTGTTTTGTTGCTGCTGCTCAACGGCTGTTCCCTGATGGCGTAATTCCACTGCTCTTGCTCAGAACACGCATGTCAGGAGCTGCTGGCTACTGCTGTGAGGCGTCCGCATGATTGTGTCTTGTAACTGAGTTATCCGAAATTCTAGAATTTGGTCTTGTGCATTAATTCATCTTTTAGCTCAGAACTGTCAAAATCTTGTTCATAGAATGGGAAGTATTTACTGTTTTGCAAGATCTGCCAGTTACTTTTAAAAGATGAGGGCTTGCTTTCCATAATCTCCTACCAGATGGAAAATAGGTGTGGTTTGCATTTACAAGGCCAGCTTGGCACAGCTTCAAGCTTTACGATCTGAACACAAGAGCAAAGCCCTGTAATAAAACCTGCCTGCACACAGGTGTACTGCTTGCTTCTGTGGTAGCTGCAGCCTGACCTCCACAGCTGAAGCACTGACCTTGGAAGGGAGTCTCATGAAGTCAGAAACCAAATTCAGTAGTTCTATCTTTATCTTTCCAAATTGCAACAGCAGGCACCAAGAACTCCTCCTCACCTCCAGACTGCAGCAGGCTTTTTTTCTGGCGATGGTTCCAACTTGTGCTTTTCTGCTGATGCAGCTTTTGGGTTAGCAGGGCATGCATCCCAGTGCTGCGTGTGTTGGGCAGATGGGGTTTACTGGGAGCTCTGAGCAAGGATTTCTTACCACCTGAGTGGGCCCGTGGGCTGGAGGGGAACTCCAGTGGCATCGAGACATTTCTAGGTGACAACAGCCCTTTGCCTCTTTTGCTGGTACAGTGGCCGAGTTCTCTCCCTCCAAGGTTAAAAGAAGCTCCAATGTCTCTATTTATAGCAACAATGTACAGTTGCCTTGGCAGAGATGAGGGGAAGAAATGAAACTACTTCATCTTCCTGTGGTTAGGCCAGGACTGCTGGCCAGGATGCCTCTCCAGTCCTGACACTGTTTCTAAAGTCCCGTCTACTGGATGAATTTAAACTAGGGGCAGATCTGCCAAAGCTAAGACATACTTCATTGCTGCAGAAGGCCCTGAGATACCCTTGTGCTAGCCACACAATACATTCCTACTTTTTTTTTAATCATGGCAGAATAACTGTCAGGGCTGTTTGTTAGTTCCTTTTCTTGACCAAACTTGTGTGGTCCTGGTGCTTTTTGTGTTAAGCTTTCCCTTGCCTGAGTGATCGCTACGGCAGAACAACTAGCCCTGGGTTTAAACACACGGCTGGCATCAAAGACTTGATTTAAAAATGAGTGCATTTCCTGTGGCCTCTTACTGCGGGAGGAAAGGTGAAAAGTCAGCTTAGCTGTCACAACAGGTGGGTCTGTTAAAAACACAGCCTTCATTCTGAGGTGGAGAGGACATAGATGGGGGGCAGGGGGGCCTGTTTTCCAAGATATATTAGTAATAATCTAGCTAAAATGCTTGGTGATATTCTGGCTGTTACTAAATCAGTGCTGGAACTGTGTAAGGTGACCTGAGAGAATGAGGGGTCTGAAGGGTTCAGGGCACTGCAAGAGATGGTGGCTGAAACTGCCGTGTCCCAGTGCTGGCAGCTGTTACAGGGTTACAGGGGCTGGGGATGAGCCTCCCTTTGCTGCCCATCCTGACTGGTATGGATGTGCTCCAGAATGGAGTGTGCTGCGTTCCTCTCCTTGCAGGGAGAGAATTTCAGAGGGGAGCATGTACACTCTTGCTAGCCCCTGACTTGGAGCTGTAGTTCAGTCACTACAGTAACTCCCTACACATAATTTTTTTTTTTTTTTTTTTTTTGATGTTACACCCCTCAGCACCCTGGATGGGAACACAGAAAAGCAAAGTGGCCCCCTGGTCCTTTCTGGGTAGCCATGACCTGAAACACAGAGCAGCTGGGCAAGACTGGCAGGAGCACCGTATTTTGCCAAGAAATGGAGGACATGAACCTGCAAAACGCAAAGCACAGCTAATGCTTAAACTCCTCTTGTGGAGAGGGAGAGAAGGTAATGCCTTGGTTTCATATCTTAACAGGGAAAAAAGATACATACACCTGAAAGCTTCAAGTTGTAATTTCAACCCCAGGCCTTTATGGAATGAATCTTCAACCTCAGCCACAGTGAATGTGGTAGAAGGTGTCCTGACGGAGCTGCAGTGCTGTGATCGTTAAACGTGTCCTGGTCATCAGCTGGGGTGGATTCTTAAGAGATCACTTACAAATCTGTAGTGGTCAAGAAAAGGCTTTTTGAAGGAGAAAGTCCTGCTGAGCCTGCACACCTGTATCAGTTTTAGTGTGACTAATTCTCTGTGTAGATTCACACTATGTCTACTGTAAGCAGGTGATGTGAAGAGGGCTAGGATGAATTATGTTGTCCTGCAGCTACTACTGGTACAAAAGAAAAGAAAAACAAACGCATCCTGCTTTCCCTTCCTCTGATGTTACCTGCTGTGAGGAGCTGAAGTAGAACAAAAGGATTGATTTCATAGCAATGTAATTTATTTGTCATCAGATGTGCACTCACAGGCAGGACATACAAGGCAGTGGAAAATGCTGGTAAGTGCATGGAGACGGCAGGCAGGGGTCTGGACCTTGGTTCCTGCTAGGCGGCTTTATTTAAATTATAAGTTAAAAGAGATTATTTCTGTCCTTGCTGAACTATCTCTGTGCAGCCACTCCTTTTTTCCTGGTGGTGCTGGTATCCCTCCCATGAGGAGAAGTGGTGAAGAATGCACCATGGTGCTCCTGCGATACATGAGCAGGCGTGATCGTTCCCCTGCTGGATGTGATCCTAATGAGCATCTGCGATTGCTTTAAAACAGATGGGAACTGAGGGTCTTGTCTCCTATACTGTCCACCCTACATGCACAGATACTCCTCTATTTGCCAGGCAATGGTATGGCTGCAATCTACAGAATCACACCTACTCTGTGCCCTGGGACCCAATGTGCTGCTACCAGCCACACAGTATTCACACGAGCAGCGTACCTTGCTGTGCTTTTTTTTTTTTTTTAATATTTGGATATCTATATGTGATTTTGTGGGGTTTTTTTATCTGTTCGGTGCTTCCCCTCATTAACTTATGCTGGGGTTAATGCTGTAGTGTCAGGTAGCACAAGAGTTAAATGTCCCTGTACATCCGTAAAGCATGATTCAGACAGACAAACTGCCAAATAAAACTTAAATTTTACATCTGTTACTGTAAAAGTGGCACTGGACTTGACTTTAGCTTAACATACCAAATCATTTGGCATGTTGACAAACAGAGGCTCTGTGAAGTTTCCCACTTCAAGCAACATGATCTAAATCAGATTGGAAGGAGTGGGAAGGAGATGCTGATCACAACAGCTCCCAGCCAAGGACTGTATTTCACAGGGGCCGCGGGGTGGGGAAAATGAAATCTGCTTTACGTGTGGGAAAAACAGGTGAGTTTTATTTGTAGCAGAGCTGAGCATGCCTGGAGTGAGGTGAGGTAAGGTGCTGTCTTCCAGCACATGGGCCTCCCCTGCCTCAAAGCGTGTTCCCTTGAGCTCCCCCCCTTTCTCCAAGCACCCTTCTTCAGGCGAGGTTTAGGTGCTGTTTGCCAGTGAGTGGGCCTGCCCTCATGTGGGGGAAGCCGTCTCCACGCAACAGTAAATGGCAGTATTTTGAGAAAGGTTTTTCCTGCAGGAGCACCTCCACTCGTGTCCCAGAACAAACTGCAGGGGGTTAGCCTCCACCTACAGTTACTGCTCAAAGGACCTGAGCTCTACGAGTCCTTTGCTTTTCTCTCCTTTTTTGCTCTAGTGGCCATTAAGGTGAAGAAGAGCCTAGGGAAGAGGTTTCGCAGGTAGACAGCCAGGGAGGGTGTCAGGCCAGCTACAAGCACTTCCTTCTTCTTCTGTCCCACAGCACTGAGAACCACCTGAGCAACCTCTGCAGCTGTCTGTCCTTCAGCGGTGTTCTTGTCCATCACTGCCAAAGGAAAGCTGAGTCAGCACGAATGCCAGCAGGTAAGCCCACACTTCAGCACCTTTCCTAGGAATGCTCTATTCTAACTGTACATGGCTGATGGTATGGGTTTGGTTTTTACACTGTGGGAGCACATGGTTAGGCTAGACATCAGTAGTTGGGTGTCTAGAAAGGCTTAATTTTGGGGGTTGCTGTTTCTACCCTGCATCCAAAATTGTCTTTTGATACTTGAGAGCTAATCTGTGACCCCATCCAAGGCCACATCTTGCAAAGCACACTCTGGAGTATTTTATGAGGTGGAAATGCTTTAGATACAGGGCACAAAATCAAATCTCACCTCCATAGCGAGATCCATCTGCTGTTATAGCATTGAGAGAGAGGTTTGTCTGAATGTACCCGGGGCTTATAACTGTCACATCGATGTTGTACTGCTCGACCTCTGCTCGTAGACAATCAAAGAAGGCCTGGGTAGCATGCTTAGAGGCAGCATCTGGAAAACAGGAAAAGGACTATGCACTAAGGAAAAGGAACAGGGCTGAAGATTCACTCCTCTGTATGGGTTTTTCACTGCAATGAAGCTGCTTCTCTGGAAGAACCCAGCAGCTGTTCTCCAACTTCTAGGTTGGCTTTGGTTTTTATTTTAGTGAATGGCAGCAACAGGTAGTGGGAGTAAGAGGCAATTTAGGAAGGCAAAATGTAAATACTCAAGTTGGAAGCTGGCTAGGATCCTGAGCTTAATATCACAGCCATGCCAAAGCACTATGGATGAACCCAAGCTGCCTCCCACTCACGAGAAAGGAGCTGTGCAGCCTGGCTCAGGAAGCATTTGCCGCGAGGGGCTGGGGCAGCACGATGCCAGCACAGGAGGGCAGAGCTGACAGCCCTGCCAAGCACCCTGCTGCCCTGTGTGTGCTGAGCGGCACGGACGTGCAGGGCAGCTTCAGAGCATGGCTGCACACAACTCAAAACCTGCTCACAAAAGCAGATGCATGGCGAAGTGTGGCCTAGGGCAGGATTTCCCCCAGTTAAATGGCTGAGTGAGTTCTCCTGCTCACTCCCTTTCCAGGGATACTTGGTCACTGTGACCGTGACTGCTGTGACCTCAGCATGGCTGCAGGGGGGACCCTGGCACACGGTGCTCAGCACAGGCTGTGTCCCTGCCTGAGGAGCGAGGCAAGAGCCGAGCTCCATGCTGCCAGGCCCATGCAGCTTTGGTTGCTGTTATGAAGCTCTTCAGAACGTGCTGCTTCGTGCAGTCGTACCCACATCATCTGCAAGATCAGGTGTCCCTGATGTTCCAGGCTCTCCTTCATTCAGCATTATGCCCCACCACTCGTCTGCCTGCACCACTGTACTTTTCCATTTTTATGTTTATTTTCAGTGATTAACAGATGCTTGTATGCTGAACACTCTTCTGTTACTTCCTCCATCTTTTATAAGGCTCTTTCCAGTAATCTCACCAATATTATTTCTTGTCAAAACTGATTTATCATGAAGAGTTTGCTGGATCAAGGTAACTGTTTAGGCTTTCGCTTTGGCATTGGCTGTACTATGGAACTTCATAAGTTATTAAAACAAAAAGTTCTTACTTTGTTAATGGGAGATTAACCAGGCAAACAGCACAGATAAAATGCAATAATATTATGGAATTAATCAGAAAATTTATAGGGACTCTCAAATGTTGAGACAGGAATATCAAGCTGTTTTCAAAACACTGAAAACATATTCTCCTTTCCCATCCCTTGACAACTTTAGGACAGGGCTAAGACTTTTTTTATTTGTGAGTTGAGTGCCTTCCTCAACAGCTGTCAGTGATTTGTGACCACACTGAGAATGATGCACAGCTCTGCCTTCCCTGCATGCAGCCAGCTCTACAGAGAGCTAAATGTGGAAGCGGTAGCCAAGTATTCATTCAGTCTGGTGCCCCAAATATGTCTTCCCCATCTTCTGTGGAGGTACTTACATGCAGATCTGAAAGGAATGCTTATTTTGCCTTGGATGCTGCTGATGGCCACAATGTGGCCTTGTCTCCTCTTGATCATGGAGGGGAGAAGTGCTGGCAAAAGACAGAAAAGACCCATTCAGAATAACAGTCCTGCCATTACTGCTGTCAAAGCATTCAAAGATGCCTGAGTGAATTACAAGACCCTTGTTCAGTGCAGGGGTTGGGCAAGGGATAGTGTTTTGGATGCCTCTAACTGAAGCTGCAGTCTGGCTGGGATGTTCACCTGTGAGGAAACTCCCATAGACCTGGTGAGCAGGACTCGCTCTTTTCTGCCACTAGTACATCTTTCCATTTCCTGCAGCTGACACCCTTCAGGCCAGACTTTCTGCATAACCAAAGAGGCTTCCTAGGAAAGCTACTGTTTCACCTAGAACCCCTACTGTGTTCTCTAGTGTTTTATCAGTGCAGACAGGCTAACCATATCTCTCTTCATCAGTTCCTGCTGGACTAGAGTCAGGAGGCATTTTAAACAAGATGGTATCTGTCATCAGGTACTTCCCACAGAGTCATGCCCAAGCATCTCCTTTAGGCTTGACCATAAAACAAACCCTTCCTCCCCTCTTACACTGTACCAAATACAATTACAAACAGAAGTTAAGCTGTGCTTAGTTGTGTTGGCCTGCAGAAGGTATCACACAAATCCACCACACCCCTGTAATCTGGATCATGGGTACCTTTGGTGAGGGCTATAGGACCAAAATAATTTGTTTCCATCACTTTCTTATCCACATCCAGTCCTGTGTCCACAATTGTGCCTCGGAAACTGATGCCTGCATTGTTGATCAATATGTCCACGTGACCCAAGTACCTCAGGATCTCTTCAGCAGCATTTAGGACAGTTTTAGTGTCCGAAAGGTCAAATACCACAGTGTGAGGTTTGTGTGTCTGTGAATAAACAAAAGCTAGTGAAAGACCAGTTCAGGCTGTGCTGAATGCACTGTATTTTCACACTCATGATGGGATTTCCCAGCTCTGGAAGCACGGCCATCCAAACCTCATGCAATTACAGTGCAGCAGTTCCATTTGGCAGGAATACGTGACAGAAGCAGGTTGTGCTCCTGTAGCCTGTTCCTATACTAGAGTCTAGGAAAGTGGAAAGTGAGATCCTCCTCAAGCACTAAAGTTTCCTATTGTCTTATTAAAGAAAATGCATCTGAAAAAGTCAAAAACTTAACCCATGTGTCTTCTACAGAAGCCAGCAATACCTTTCTTAGCCACTGTCAGCAGAACTGGACATCAAAAATAAAAGCCAGTAAAGGAAAGTCACTTCTCCAGGTTTAGTGTATGACTGGGTGAGGGGTCTGGGCACTCTGCACTCTCATGCTTTCAGTTCCATTAGAAGGCAAGGAGTCCTTCAGAGGGCTTATTTTTATAGGGTTTTTACAAGATACAACATGTCAGCTCAGTGTACTCCTATAGCAATATCTATCCCTAACCACAGAGTTGCATTTTTCCTATTGCTCAACAGAACAACCCACAAGCAATTCTATAACTTCTGTAATAACATGAACAGAAATCCTAACCAGACAACAAGCTTCTCCTCCTCCCGCACTTACGTTCTTTCGGTGGTTGGTCATGGTAGAAAGCTGCTGCACCAGGTCTTTGAGCTTCTCGCTGTCTCTGCCACAGAGCACCAGCTTGGAGCCAGCTGCGTGGAAGGCTTTTGCACATTCTTTGGAGGAACCAAGGGAGAGAGAAAAGTAGACATTTGAATGACAGAGACAAACAGCATATCCACACCATACCTGGTGGTAGGCTAAAACTTCTTGTAGCTGCCAAGGGTCTAAGGTGGCTTTATTACTCCTGAGTGATAGGCTGAATTATTGATATTGTTTTCCTGTAACTTTGGCAGATGTGACAGTGGTGAGGCAGCTGATGTGCCCACAGTTACTGTGCTGGTTACACAGTTATTGTGCTGTTCATGCATCCTCCCCTACCAGCTGGTCAAATTTACCTCTGCCTCTTAATTTTTGACTACATACCCCTCTTAAGAGGGACTACAGCTACCTTGTGTATGTCATCTAATGCAGCAGGGCCTGATCTTATGAGTTTCAGTTTTAGTGAACATCTCCAAAGGTTTTGGAAGTCTCTGGAGATAAAGGTTTCATCAAGATGATCCTCTTCATCAGGAAAAGGCTGACAAGGTGATGCCATGCTATTGTCCTCCTCTCAGTGCTAGCAGCTGCTGAGACAATTGCCTGTTCTTCTACCCTACCCCTCTGTGATCCAGTGAGAGAAATTGCTCGTCTACGCAAGAGATGACAGTGGATCATAACAAAGGGTGTTTAAGAAAACATAGTAATTAGAGGTGGTCTAGTATATTAATAACTGGGAGTGAAGGGAATGGTGTAAGATCTTGGCAGTGAGTCAGTAAGGGGGGAAACTTCACTGTACAGTGGTGGAACTCTATAGAGCCAACACCCCACAGCGTTTCATCTGCCCAGCCTGTCACAGCTGGAAGGTGTCTCCTGCGATACCAGTTCTATCTCTTCTTGATGTGAAATACAATTTCTTTTACCACTCCCAGCAGAAAGGATCATTTCATCTCCTTTAGTCACTGGGTTACTGAACACCCCTATCCTTAAGGACAAACTTGCATGCAAAGACAGCATCCATTTAAGCTTTATTTGTTCTATAAATGTACTCATCTTTGTGAAAGGCCTTGATAGCAGAAAGCACCTTGTCTTCTCTTCAAGAAGCTTTTAAAGCAATTACAGTAAGCAGAATTGGAGAACATATCCACTCAAAGAATAAATTTTATTTGAAAAAAGCATACTCACTGGTGTTAATATTGCCAAGAGTTTGAATTTAGAATGGATGGATTTGTACCACAGGAGAAAAAGTACTTTAACTTGAGGGCAAGGGGCAGGGAGAAGGAGTGGAAAATTTAGCAGGGTATCTGGAAATATAACAAACATAAATGCAAAACACCAATTCTAGGAAGTTTTAGAAAAACAATTTGACTCTCTGGCCTTTTCAGGATTTAGAGAAGACCCCTGACAGCACAAGGACAGCATAACTTGTTCCTTGCTTTGATGAGCTCCAATTTAGACAGGATGACTAAAATCTTCCTTAAATTTTGAGACTTTCTTGCATCAAAATTTGCACTGTCTGCAGTTGTAATTGATATATATGGCTGTGCAAGCTGTGCCTCTCAAAATTCATAGTAGTAGGAACTTCCCGCTCATTTCTGCTTTATTCCACCAGGTGTCCCTCCCACAAACCTCTGCCTGTCCTGCCTTTGGTGCCCTTTTTTTGGTACCGACCTTTTCCCAGGCCAGAGGTAGCCCCCGTGATCACGACCACGGCTTCCTGGAGGTAAGCCCGCATCCGCATCCACTGCAGTAGCCGAAAAAGGGCAAAGATCCCCAAGCTGCCAAAAAGCAGCGGGATGATGACTGTGCTTGTGAGATCCATGAGTTTTCCTTTCTGAACCGTCTTCCTAGAGCCACAAGATGAAAGGAAACAGACCATTTCACCATCAAGAAAATTAGCAGAGGCTTGAAAACTAGGGAGGTTCTTTTTCTTCACCCTGCTTTGACCACCAGTAAACCAAATCCCATACAGAGCTATCTTCAGCAGATTTCCTCATCCCTTCGTTTAAGCTTTCAGAAGTTCAAATCAGTACCCAATTTTAAACATTTAAATACTAATTTGAACATCCCAGCAGGACACTTGGTGTTGGATGTCAGCTGTTATGTAAAAAACTTGGGTTCAGAGACCTGTTCCCAATTTTTCTCTACATTCACTCTCTTGTACAAAGTGTATTTTTAGTGAAAACTTCTCAGGGCTGGGATATGTCTCTGTGTTCTGATTGTAATAAAACCTCTTAGATTTCTGTAGAACAGCCCGTACCACAGTATCTGCATGCCAGAGACCAGTTACTGTGTATTATCCCAGATGGATATAAAGCCAGTCTATCTTCTGGAGGCTCAGAGTAAATTTTCTCTCTGAGCACATTATTTGCTTAATGCACTAAAATCTGTGCTTCCATCTCCAGTGTCTTTCACCACCTGTAAGTAGAGACAAGTTACCTGATTTAAATGAACAGCATGTCCAATCTAGTAGGCTAAAGCCTACATTCATGTTGTTTACTTTTATGCCAATGTTAATTGTGCAGTTTAACAGCATGACCCTGTGTTCTAATATACTTAAATTAAACCTGTTAATGAAACCCAAGCTAAAGGAATCTGTGAGACACAGCTCATCCTGGAATTGGATTCTGATACCAATGCATAGCCCTAATCTCTTTGCTAAGCCATTGCCTTCAAGGGAGTAGTTTATGTTACAGCTTACGACATGGCCAAAGATTAAATGGTACTTCTGCTGTAAAAAAATCATTAATTTTCCCACTGTATATACCCCCAAGCTCTTATGACATTTACAACTCCTTTGTGGTATCTGTACAATTTTTGGGTCACACATAAGGTCAAAACCAAATGGGTTCCCTGTTGGGCAGACAGAGTTTGAACTCTTGCAGTTTGACCTGCAAGATAGGCCTGAACCAGGAAGATGTTGGAGTGGTCTGGGCATACAACTCAGACTACTTCAAACAAAAAGACAGCATGAGTAGCAGAAAACAAGAGGTAACTAATAATGCTAAGCCAGAATTCAGTGTCGTGAAGTAGTCTGAGCTTCTGTGGAGCTGAAGGGATGATGTGCCATGGAACAGAGCTAATGTGGAAAATGTCAGGCATTTGCAATTTCTATCAGGGGCTTGGGCAGAATTCCTCAAGTAACTGGTTGGTGAATGGCCTAGCTTGTTGAACCAGTAGTGAACTGTATAAAACAGGTATTTCTGGAGGAATAGCTAGAACACAACAAAATAACACATAAAGATAGCTGAGCTAGTTCTAAATAAGCTTGACAAGGTCTAAAAATAAAGTCATCAAGTTAGTACGCTGCTTTTCTCAAGGTACTGTGGAGCCTCCCCTTCCTGAGCTAACTCATGTATCTACAAAGTACTTCAGTGTGCCTAATGCAGTTGGATGTCTAGGCCCACAGCTCTCCTGGGCACAGGGACGATGCCCAAAGTGATCAGAACTGATCAGAAATCAGAAGCCCAAAAGGAGGATTAAAGTCACTCCATTGTGAGGAGGCGTGTGAGCACAGCACCCAGCTGCTCAGAGCAGCATCTTATTCCTCCACCTCTCTGTGCTGAGTGCACACAGAGGGTACATTTTGTACTGATTTACAGCAGAGGCCTGATAGAGTTGGTTTAACATAAAGAGTGTATGTCATTCCTAAAATAATTCCTGGGAAAGAGCTGTTTAGACACAAGGCCACTGGCCCTTAGGCTGGATAAGCAGGAGGTTCTCCTTACTGGTTCATGTTCAGCTAGTCCTTTAAAGCAGCTGCCCTCTTTATATTGTCCTTTTTTTTTTTTCTTTTTTTTTTTTTTATTTTTTTTTTTTTTAACTCTCAAAGATCTCTTGAGATTCAGAAGATGAGATGTGGGCAGGGACAACAGGTGCTATGCTGACATTGAGCAGTGTGGCATACAAGACATTTTGGAACCAAAAATCTTCAGCTCCCATTTAGGACTTTTTGTTATTCCAAAGTGGGAGCTGACAGGTGGAGCAGCACTTCCTTTATAAACCTGTCTTGAAGCTGAGGCATTTTAAAAATCTGGCTCTGACCAGCTTTGCTTCTGATTTCACTAAAATGCAGATGAATGTGTAAAGCAAATGAAAAGGTAACTGGGAAGAGGGGGCTCTTCTGACACCTTTTCTAACTAAATCACACTGGGAGATGGGAGGCAGCCTCATGTATCTCTGCCCTAAGGTTGCAACAAGCCACTTTTGCAGCTTCCAGGTTAGGATTTGAATCAACAGGTAACCACCTCTGATATATGGGGAGGGGAAGAGAAAAACTGAATGAAGGAGGAGAGGACTGTCTGGTCAGAGATGTATGTCCTTTTTTATCAGGGCATACGGTTGCAGTACCTTCTTCCAAGGAAGGTCCTCAAATGGCCCCTTCAGAAGAGCCCCAGAACAAAGAAAATCTCAGTTCAGTCAGACTTGAGGAGGACAACCTAGCTGAACCAAATCATTCTGGAAAGACAAGAGTTCCTCTTGCACTTCAGACTGACAGCAACAAGATTTTCTTTGATTTCATAAGTAGCTTATATCACAAACCTACGAGTCCTTATTTTAGCTTGTCATATTGAACATGCCTTAAAAATGACTGATAAAATAAATATCAGTAGAAGAGGAGAACATGGAAATCATCTCAAGCCATAGAGCCACACTGCAGTACATGCAACAACATCGATCTTACAGAGCCTGGTGCCAGGCTACTGACACAACAGGGTGGCAGTTACATTCTGTTCAGTTTTCAGGGTTATTTTGTGGAAAGACCAAATGAAAGAACTGCTGCAACCTGAAGGGGAAGTCATGTTCTGTTCAGTATTAGGATTATTTGCTTCAAAAGCCAGAGGAAGAAACTGGTGCAGTCTGAAGGAGAATGAGATAGATCCTAGATACACAAAAGGCATGATTCACGTCAACAAAAATGAGAAGTTGAAAGGCAAAGGCTGGGAGAATAAGATAAAAAGCATAAACCCCAACTTAAGAGAGATCGCACTTGGAAGTACCTAAAGAGATCCCAGGGCAGATAACGCCGTGTCACATTAAAAACATGGGGGAGGGTGGGGAACACATGGGTTTTCACACCAAATTTGAGATGAACTGGATATCCTCAGAAACCTCACTCAAAGGTCTGAGACCCCACTAATCACCTTTGTTCAAAAATTTGGTATTCATGCCAAAAAAAACAACATTAATTCTTAACAGATAATGTTTATGACACCAGGTTATTGGCAGGGGAGAAGCCACTGCTAATAATTGATTCAGATAAAGTCCTGTAATTCTCAGTTCTTCATCCCAAAAGGCAGGATTGGAACATGCAAGTTATTAGAGAGCAGAAATAAGAACACCAATAATGTGAGCAAATACAGGTGACTGGAAACTTTTCGAAAGGCTTGTCATAAAATAAATTACATCTACCCAGTTATAAAAAAAAACTTTCCCCTAAAACAAAATCTGGATGTTATCCTGTAAAATCCAGGACAATGATTTCTGAAGGAACAATGATATTAGTTAATAAGGTCAAGAGTGCACTAAAGGCAAAGATGAGATCAAGTCCTAAAAGAAACTAAACCCAAGATAGTCTCCCTAAACAACACCTATTCTCCTTTAGCTTCAGCCACCTAGAATCACATTATCCTTTATATGACAAATGGCAGCAACTGGGAGGCTATTTTCAGAAATCAAAAGGTGTCATTTAAAAGGTGGGGGGATAAAAGGAAGGAAAAAAATGTTTTTTTTCTAAGGAAGCCCTCATCCAGAAACACAGGAGCTCTAAGCTTCATTAGCATTTAGTCTGAAGAAAGCACAATATCCTACCTTTGAAAAGAACTCACTTGCCAGTGACTCTGTGAGATGGTGTCTCCCTCTGGTCTTTTAGCAGGACAGACCTGACTTAAATTTGGAACTGGCAGCAGTCCAAGCAAATGCGCTCTGTCCAATGCTAGCACGGCCAAGAACTGCCTCTAAAAACAAACCTCAGGAATACGGGCCCTGACCTTTGAAATGGGGGGGGGGCAATTTAACGCTGAGATTGAAAAGACAGATGTGAATTCAAAATGATACACAATTTATGATGACCCTCTGATTATTTCTAGTACTAAACAAATAATTTCTAGTATTGAATCCACAGCATCCATAAAGACCAATCCTACTGTTTCCATGCTCTAGATGGAAAAAAAAAAAGGCAACTTGTGAATCAGTTGCAATTCTCTGTTACTGTAATTAGTTTTGGGACGTATGCTGATGTTATAGTGCATGCTGTAAAATAGGTAACATGCTAATTAAAAGAAAACAGACTTTTAATTTCTTCTCTTAGGATTCTTCAGAACTTTGAGCACAATTGAACAGACAGATGAGTTTCTCATCACACTCTGCATCAACACCCAGTATTTACTGGGGAAATAAGCATTCTTTCCAGCAGACCAAAGTTACTAAATCCCTTATAAGCCATGTTTGACAGGGAGAAAAGTGAGTATTGCTTTAATTTTATATCAGCAAATAGTTCTACTGACCCAACAGCATTAGAAAGAAACTGAAATCAAACTCAGACATCTGAGTCAGAAAAAAAATGTCATCTAGCATTCCCTGTAAAATTAGTGATTTAATACAAGCCTGTGGGATGCTGACAATTTATCTGATGCACGAGATTCCCATAAATGGTAAGTTAAACTTCAAAAAACTCATTCAAAACCCAGTGAGAAAAAACAGTGATTACATTAATTCAAACAACTGAATTACTGAAATTCCAGTGCACTTACATGCTTACATAATGAGCTTTTATTCCAAACTTTATAAGCAGAAAATAATGTCAAAAATACACTAAGGTCATCAGAAACCAGTAAAGCTCCTAAGAAGGAACACTGGAACTAGACAGAGCTCCTCACTACAATACAACCATTTCAAACAGAATACAGAGGTGAGGTTCAGGAGAAGGATTACAATAGCCTAACTGTAATTCTCAAAAGAAATTATGGCAACTGGAGTGCCACAGAAGCACTACCCACTAGTAGCTGGTAGGTCTCATTGTAAGCAGCTGGCAATAATAAACAAATGTTTGAGGTTTGCTGAGGGGCATCAGCTGTAGTATTCTTAATTATTTCTAGTGTGATTTGAACAAGCTACCATCTCACAAGCGTTACTTGAAGCAGTGCCTAGGGAAACCATCAGTTGTCTTTCAGTAGTCATTCCCACAGCATCGTGCTTGTGTATTTATGTAACTTATCCAGAACAACCATTTCACCCCATGATATGGGGCAGGTGTGGAAAATAGGCTTCTAGCAAAACCAGGCTGGACTTGAGAAATAATTTTCTCATAAATCTTCCTGACATTTTTATTCAGTTACAAACTTCATTTCCAACCCTCCCACTTGAAAATCCTATTGGTGTGTTTGGCACACAAACAAAGGTAAATCAAAGTGGCACGATTAGAAAATTAAAACGCTGTGCCAGAGGAAGTATTTTGTAGACGTTTACTAAATCAAAAATCGCCTAAAACACAGTGAGAAAACGAGAGTTGGCTTGATGCCTCGCCCCGCCCTGATTTATACGTAAGTGTACACTTAACAGCTGTAACGGCGATGAACTATGTCCTGGGGAGCCCGGGGTTTCCCCACACACAGATCAGGGCCACGTTCACCCAACCTCTCCCCCATTTGCCAGACCTCGACCTCCCGGAGGACCCGCAGTCCCCTCGGCACGTCCCCGGGGGAGATCACCGGCGGGAAGGAGCTGAGGGGAAGGGGAGGCCGCGGGGCCTTACCTGGCTACCGCCGTCACCATGGCCACCGCCGGAAGTGCCGCGGCGTGCGCATGCGCCTGAGGTGCCGCCGGGGGAGAGGCGGGGTTTCTGCCAGGGCGACCAATGACAGACAGCTCCTACGTGACGCAACCGGAAGCTGCTTCAGGAGGGCGGCCTGCCCTCGCCTGTCCGACCGTAGGTGCCGTCCGGCCGGGGAGCGGCGCTCCCGGCCTGGGGTTCCCCCAGCGTGGGGCCTTTCCCGCCCGCAGCGCTGAGGCCGAGGGTTTTCACCGTGAGCGTGGGGCTCCAGCCCTTCGCGTGGGTATCGCTTATCCCGTGTGTCCTTCCGGGGTCGCCTCCGGCCGAGCTGCTGGCGGGGGTTGCGGAATGGGGCGGGGAGCACCCAAACTGCGGTCGCTTGGGCGAGGGAAGGCCAGAAGTGGGTAGCGGAGGGAAAACGGGTAGGTAAGTGCAGCTTGGCTCCACCAGACATCTGTGCTTGAGGCTAATTTTGACCTTCAGACTCAAAGCACAGAAACTGGGCTGTTCCTAAGCAGCTCAGTTGGGCAGAGTGTCTGTGGTTTGTTTTAGGGGAGTCTTCTCTAATTAGCAATTTGACCTCCAAACAGAATCCCTGATAAGCTTGGAAGACTTCCCATTTGCAGTGGTCGTTTTTTGATGTGCACATTGCTGATTACACTGACCTAAATTCTGTTCTCTCCTTTGATATCTCTGCATGAAAGTTGAAGATGGAGAAACTGCACGCAATGGGACTGTGTAATGTGTGACTGTGAGGAACGATGATCTGGGGAGATCTGATCTCTCTGGTTTTAAATGAGCTCTGTGTGGTGATGCCCACTGACTGCAGCAGTGGTATGGAAGCGTTTCAGTTTGTGATTAAATGGGGCATGAATGTGCTACAAGTTCTGTGGCTTTAAATCTCCTCATTGAGGTAATGGCACTGACAAGGGGCAATAGAGAGATGCCAAGCTTTAGCACAAATCTGACCAGGGCTTTGGAAATGTGAGGCCCCCGTGATCCCAAAGTCCCAATGGACTCTGTGGCATGAGGAGCTTTTGTCCTGAGGAAGGAAACGGTGCATGGCTTCATCCCAGGACAGCAAGTTTTTCCACCTACTTGTTACAGATCGATACATTTACAGAGGCAGTTGGAAATACTTTAGCATTATCCAGAGACAAAGGCAGTTAACCCCAGATGTCTCTCCCTGTGAACAGCAGCAAGATAAAGGACAGCTTTTTATGATAGCTATTTGAAAGACAGTTTTATCAGAAGTTATTGTAACAGTGTTCTGTGCCTCTCTTCTAATAAGGAAAATAAACAAGCTGTGAATTTATTTCAATGTTTGTCATTAGTAAAGGATTGGTATTTCAGGAAAAATGATAAAAGAAATCAAGATCTTCCTTAAAAATCACATTCTGAAAGGTCTGATGGTAATGTATTTAATGGCTTCAGCACCAGTGAAAAATGAAAGGAAAGAATCAATTATTTTATTTACACAAATGGTACCTAAAAACAAAATAACAGAAGAAGGTAATTTATGTTATGATAGTCTTACTGAAAGCTGTAGTCAGTTCAGTCTTCTGAAAATTAGAAATGGAAAAAGCCATTTCAGACCGTCTTTCCCACCAAAGCAGGGGAAGATGAGCTGTAGTCTAACGCATTCTCTTTCTTACAGGACAGTAGTTACCTGAGAGCTCTGTACAAGCTCCTGTGGTCATTTACCTGGTATCTGCCAGCCTATTTTTTTTATCGAGAAATAGTCTGTCACCAGACTGGCAAAGTTGATTGAAACAAGGTGCCCTGCAGTGATTGTACGAGTCATATAGCAAAGGGTTATACTGGAGTTGCAATTAGAGAAGGAAATTCATTGAACTAAGGCTTTGATGAGGATTCTGTTTTCTTCGGTTAACTTAGTCTAATTAGGACAAATTCACTGTTGATTTAAACCTGCGGATTCACACATTGTATGTTGGATGGCAGTTAGGTGACTTACTTATATCCACATGCCTTTGTTTGCAGAAACATTAGAGGGGAGTCTATCCTGAATCCAGGGCTTTTGTTTTGGAGACCATACAGGCCTGACTGGTAAATAGTCTTCTAAAACTATGCCTGTTGTTTTAATCAGCACTCAGTCTCCTCTTTTCTTTCTCTCTGTGTCAGGCCAGAACTGCAAAGGGCTGGAATCCTTTTAGCATTTTAACACTGCCTTGACAAACATCCTGCTGTTTTATAGCTGCCTTCCTAAAGTGTAAGAGTTCTTTTTTGTGGAGAAAAGAAATCTCCAAACTCAAGGAATTGTTTGCACTTGTGTTTGGTGACATCTGCTTTACTGCAAGCATCACTGAATGCAGATCTACAGCCTTTTAACCCTACTCTCTAGGGCAACAATTTTGTGCTCTAGTTCTTTCAGGGTCTTATTTGTCACCTTTTTTCAAGGAGTATAAGATGTAGCTTCTCTCTTAAAGCTTTGGTTGCTTACCCTAAGAGCAAAAATCTGTGCAGAAATCCCTACAGGATAAAAAAAAAACCCTTCCCCAGGGACAACATCCTTGAACTAGTTTGAACTGAAAGCTCCCAATTTCACAGTGCCTTTGGCTGGGAAATGTAAAATGTTCAAAGGGCTGTGGCATGATTAACTATTTTCTTGTCTCGGCCTCTGATGCAAGAGTGCAGATCCTCCTTCTCTCCTCCCTGCTTGCATAGATTGGGTTTATAGGAGTGAATGAAAACAGACTAGGCTGTTAGCAGATAAAACAGAGAACAAAGGTAGAAGACAGAGAAGGAAGGTGGTCTTGGGGCTTTTCCACCCTTTGCCACTGCAGCTCTGTGCAGATCAGTTGTCTGTGTCCCTTCCAGGCCGTGGACCCAAGGAGATGGTCATGATTTTTGCACCAGTTCTGGTTCGGAACCAGGCTCTGACTCAAAGACATCAGAGTACTCTTGGAGATCTCTTGCTGGACACCTGGTCACTAGTCTCTCGGCTCTTCTCTCTGGGAGAATTTTGCTCTTGGTTCAGTTCACTGCACTCGCAGGCTTTTGCACCACCCAAGTCTGGTTTTGGGTTTTTGGGGGTTTTTTGGGGGGTTGTGGTTTGTTTTTGTTTTGGGGGTTTGTTTGTTTGTTTGTTTGTTTGTTTGTTTGTTAGTTTCTATGAGGTTTGCTTCCAGTTGTTTATAATTACTGTCTTCTCCAGACCCTGCACTGCAGCATTTCCAAGCTCAGTATGAAAACAGTGTAGACTTAGTGAGACTGCGTTTCTGATGTATTATTGTGCTGAAAATCCCTGATCTTTGCAGCTAACGCAAAAGCAGGGGAAGAGGGAGCGATATCCTCTCCACCTGCAGCTAAAGATTCTCAGATATACACCACAACCATTTTAACCATGTTGAATGCCTTCAGGGGAGATAGCGGTGTTCTGTCACACACAGAAATAGAGACATGGCAAAGCTGAGGTACCATTTCTGTTGCTTTAATTGCTGAGGGGACAGCTCAGGCACAATGTATGGAAATACCTTCTACCTGCAGCTTTGCTGATCTCGGGATATCCAACCCTGTCTTTCCCTGCTGCCTTCTCTCTTTGGTTTAGAGTGGTAAAAGCAGGTAAGGTTGGGCCCCCAAGAGCTGTAAGGCAGCAGGCACATATGCAGAGAAGTGTATAGCTTACTGCTCTTCTGGTTTTTGATGAGTTAGGAAAGAGTTAAATGACAACAGAGGGAGAGGCTGTGCTATTGTTCAGGCATCCCTGGGTCCAGGGTGGCTGATCTCTATTCCCGGATCTGCCTCTGGCTTCCTGCATGACCTTGGACCGGTCCCTTACCTTTTCTTTTCCTTAGCTCCCAAGTTATAACATGGAAATAATTCTCTTCCTGTGGTGCCTCATTCCCTGCGGGTTTCAGGGTGGCTGAGATTCTCTGGTGGGAGATGATGGGAGGAGGAGAAAACATTTGCAGTGGAGAAATATTTACACGGAGGGTAGCAATTTTGGGATGTGTTCTTGTTCACTCAGATACAGCGCGGGCTGTGCATATGGTGATATTTGGTTTTTTTAGTAGGCAAACCTGTGGTGAAAGTCAAATTCCATTTGCCGTTGATGCAGCTGCCCGAGAGCAATGCCAGCTGCAGTGATCCTTTCCTTCACTAGATGGTGCTTTTGATCAAAGATTTGAATAACGGCAGTTCTTTTCTGCACAGGATTTCCTAATTTTTCTTCCCCGGTCTCCATTCCTTCCCCTCTTCTTTCTGTGCTTTAACACTACGGGGGACACTTAATGATGCTGGATATAGAACAAGGCTAATCTGGTGGTAACAGAGGCTCCAAGCCACCCGCACCCACCAGACAGCTTGTCTTCTGGGCTTTGGTTTTTGAAGCGTGTATCAGTGCTGCTGGGCTGTGGCAGAGAATTGAATTCTTTCCGTGTTTTCTATTCCCATAAGGAAAAGGCTTCAAAGAGCAGGTCCCCTCCCCCTCTCTGCTGGTGAAGGGCATTTAGGGAAGCTGGGAAAAAAAAAAAATCCAGCTCTGACAGATGCATTTATTTAACAAACCACTGCCTTTCCCTACCTTAGCAGAAGATTGGTTGTTTCTTAAAAGGGGAATTGCTGCTTTTGTATCCATCTTTGTATTCAGGAGATGGTTACCTAGCCAAGGTCATTGCTGCTGCATGCCAGTATCAAGCAGCGAGTCAGGCTCCTCTTCCTTGAACCAGCACCGATTTCAGTAAGGCTTCTCCAGGTGAAGATTGGGAACAGGCTTGAATCTGCCAGTGCAGAAAGTCCCAAGCTTGGCCGGGTAGAGGAAACCACAAGAACAGCCTTTCCTTTTATAAAGGCAGCAGAGGAGATGAATGAAATTGTAATCAAACATTTCCTGTGCAGACATGCAGGGGATCGGTTAGGAGCTGGTACAGTATGAGGGACAGCAGGGTGTGTGGCAGTGTCCTGTCATCATCCGTGACAGCGGGTGTGGGGCAGATCGGGCTGCCTGCCCTCAGCACCCCAGTCCAGCACCCGCAGATGAAAACCCTCCTGTGCTGGGCCCCTTCCGAGCCTGTCCCGAGGCTCTTGCCCCTGCGGCGAAGATGTTTGATCGCATTTGTGCGCTGGCAGGGCTACCTGCAGCCCACGCCTCGGTACCAGGCTGCTTTGCACGCTGCCAGTGTGTATCCGGACCCTCCCATCGGGGAGGCTGTGAGGTTACATCACGTACAGCTCCCTCCCCGTGGAATTATACAAACATTAATGAATGGGGCTGGATCGCTGCTATGACGCCAATCAGCCATGCACAGTTTTATAGTCTGAGGCCAGGAGAGATTAAGCTTCTGCCTCTGGCACTGCACCAACCACAGCAATTTCATGTGTGTGCTGACAAGCCCACAAGGCCGGTGCCCGCAGCGGCCCTGTCCTCACGTGCTGGATGTTGTGCTTATGGCAGTGACGTCCCCGCAGCAGGGACACCAGCTATGCTAAACTGCAGTCTGACACAAAACTCCTCTCGGGACTGGGAGCTGACAGTGATTTCTTTGTCATTCCCCTGTTGTCATCTTCCCATTGCACATACATTTGTTCATCGTTAGTAAGATATTGCTGATGACTAAACCCTGGGTCTGCATCACAAAGAAACGGTTTGAAGGAGCAGCCCAGAACTGCAGGGTTCAAACTCGTAAGAGGAGTGAGAAGTGGGGACAGCGCATTTCCTTGCATCTATTAGATCTGGAGAGCAAACCACTCTCCCAGTCCCTCCTGGCTGACAGGAAATTGCATCACTGGCATGTGCAGATTGTTGGTTTTTTTTTTCTGAAATGTGCTTGTTTTATTGTTTTCCTCCGATGGAATTTGCCAGCATGTTCCAAATTACGTGGTTCTGAAATTTAAAAGCAACATACCTGTGTGGGGGAGAGAAAGAGTGGTTTTCACTTTGCAATCTGGCTCTTCCCTCCTTCCTCCTTTTTCCCCACATCCCCATGTGTTATGGAGCCAGCTGCTCCCGGAATAGTTTGGGAATGAAATGTCACCGTTTGAAACTGGTGAGTCACACTTTTTGAGGGGAGGGGGGAGAATATGAAATCTTGTGGTGTGGCAGAGCGTCTCCTGGTGAGTACAGAGAGATTTTTAAAACCACAGACTCCCCGATGATGGAGTTGAGGGGCTTTGAATAAAGGCGGCTGGGTGTGTCCGTGCTGCTTTTTGCAGGAGGATCTCAAAAGCCTCTGAAAACTTTAATTGTCTTCCTTAACATGCCCACTGCAGCTGGATCCTAGTTGCCTCCTCCAGCAGGACTAGGCTGTGTCTGTCTGACAACACACCTACAGTGACTCTCTTAATTAAGTCTCCCCGCACTGCTGTGAGGTGTGTAATTACAGTGAGACCTGACTTAAGCAACCACTCGAGGGACTAACACAAAAAAAAAAAAAAAACCTTTACCAGAGCAAGGAGGAACAGAATATTAGTTAATACATTTTTGGGGGATATTTTAGAGGAAGTTTATTAAGCAAATAAGGGTTAATTCTGGTTTCCTCTCAGTTTATCCCAATATTAGGATGATTCCTTTAATATATTGGCTGTTAACATAATCAGGGGTTTTTTCCTTCCAAAAGGATACTTGAGATCTTTTGTCTTTTAACAGATTGCTATTAAAGAATGTCAATTAGTGCAAATGGTGGCAATGGTCTTGAGAAATGAGCTATTGTTTATCAGAAGCTGAGTAGTTGTCCCTCCCTGCCCTGTCTAGGGGTAAAAATTTTCAGACAAAGGGCAAAATTCAGGATTCCTGCTCTAGGGCACTCTAACCACCTTTCTTCATGACTCTACATGACAGCTCTGCCTAGTAGGTACCAAGAATCGTGTATCTTGAACTAAAATTGTGTACTAAAGTTGTGTCTCACAGAGAGTTTTAGCAGTTCCAGGCGGACTGATTTTCGGTGTCACTGCCCCAACCAGCTGTCAGAGGTCTCTGCCTGGTACTCGAAGTGTTAGGCTGGACTGTGCATCACCATTCACAGCCCAGCATATTAATCTAAACTGCCAACTATTTCAGGTTGCATTACTATTCCAAGCACTGAACTGTGGTGGCTGCAGAGAAGATATGCCACCCGTTTTGCAGCCTCTGCTTCAACAGTAGTGATCTCCAGCTGAAGGACAGGAAGAAGCTGGAAATAGTAATATCATAAATAGTCCCGCTATGGGCTGGCAGCCCTCCCCTCGAGTCCCACCTTCAGTGGCATTCTGACTACATGCTGTGAGTAAAACTCCCAAATTGCAAGCCAATCTATGCAGCTAACTTGGTGAGGATTTTGCAAGCATAAGCCCTAGGGGGTTTGATGCCATCTCTCTCTATTTTATTGGGAAGACTGAGCTAGTAGCAAGATTTTATGAAGTGTGCATTTCTATCTCAAATTTTAGATAGCGTTAACTAGAAACCCACATACTCTATCGTCACTGGATTTGACAGAAATAATCTACGTCTGCAGAAATTTGCTGCAGAGCCTAAGCTTTTGCTTAATACAGAATAAAACCACCTCAGAGAGAACCTTGAGAAGTCAAATCTGGGTGCCATTCCACATGTCTTTTTCTCAGCAGCAAAGCTTACTTATCTTCCCCACTCTTTTCTCTTTTGCATATCATTGTTGCCCTTTTTTTCTTAACTCAGACTGTTTCAGTGATTTGGCTTATGCTGCGGGTCTGCAAAGAGTCGAAGCAGCCACACTGCAGGCAGGAGCTGTAAGTTGCGGCAGCGACGTAGGAGTGAGCCAAGGAACCAGGTAAGAAAAAATACTCCTATGGATCTGCTACGCCATCAGGTTTGAACTTTCAGATATTCCAAACCAGTAATAGATAGGAATGCCAGTGGATCATCAGTTTTGAAGCATCATGACAGTGCTTGATATTGTTTTCTGAGCCTGTTTCTTCTGCCATAGGTTTCTGCCTGTTTATGGTATGTTTACCTCCCCAGATCCCTAATGGGGATTCCCTTTAGCTTGCAGTTTCCTGCAGATAACTCCCAAGATAACGCTGGGCACAATCAGTACAAATACTCCCTATTAAAAAGTAGCTTCTTTCTTAAAATGAGGTTAGTGTAATTTCAAACTGAGTAACAAAGGATGAATTTACTGAGTGTACAACTCAATGAAGTACTGAATTCAGTGAGCATTTGAAGTCTCAAAGACAGGTGGTAACTTCTTTAAAACAATGTATTTTTGCCCAAATCAAAGGATTTTGCCTCATCACCTATAGTGGGATTTCCCAGGGTGCCTGAGTCCACACATCCTCAGTCTCTTAGACCTTGGCAAAACTGATACATAATGTGTGGAAGTCTTCCTAACATAAACAGACATTTCAGTTCATTCTGAAAGGCCAAGATTACTACTGATTTGTTTTGGGGGAGAAAAAAAAAAGGACAACTGAAATGACTTTGGACATTCATTAGCAAAGCATTGTCAGAACACAATAGAAGAACAGACAAAAGCCAGTCCAGATTCTGTGGTATTTCCTAAAGGGCTCCCTCTGGCACATGGCTATTCCCTGCCAATCCTTTTGTATTGTTTTTGATAATGAATAGAAGCTGAACAGATGATTGTTGCATTGTCCACTAAGTGATTCATTTACATTAAATAGTGCTCCGAAAGTAGGCTTTGGGTGGACTTTTTCAGTCGCTTCAGTTATTTATTTGTACAGTTTAATTACTGTCTTTTAACTCTCCACTGTACATAATTGTTTCCTGATTGCTTCAGCTCCTCTGAAGTCAGTGGTCCAACAAGCTGTGACATAAGAAGCAGCATCTGCATTTTCAAAGATGCTTAATTTTGAATGGTCACCTCTAGAAAACTGCTCCTGAGTTGGGAAGGTGCTGAGGTTCTTAAGCATCTGCAGGTCCTTAGTGCCCTTGGTCCCTGTCTCTGAAAGTTGGGCTATGAAGCACAAACTTTGCTACATAAGCTGTCACAGTTCCATTGATTTCCTCATTAATCTCTCACCTCCTGCTGCATGTCTACACCAAGGTTTCTTCATTAACCTAGGGCTTCCATTACAATTTCAAGCTTTTCTTACAGAGGTCAAAAGTTTTGTTTTGTTGTGTTTTATTTTGTTTTGCTTTGCTTTGTTTTGCAGGGTGTGACAGATGTTATGTGCTTGAGGGCATATTGACCTTATTGCAGTTAGAAGAACTTCAGTGTCTGAGGCTATTTAGCCCCAAATCCACATCCAGAACTGCAGGTCCACTAATTTGGATGTACTAATGGGTGGGGGAGAATGACACCGTATTGAAGGGCTTTTGATGGTTGAAGAAAGTTAAGGAAATCAACATTCTAGGCCATCTCCCCTTGTCTGAGAAGCTGCATGACTTTGCGTTTGCTGAATAACTGCAGTTACATCTCAAAAGCCCTGATTTCCTAGTTATTCTCTGTTCCCCATTCGATGTACCACAGAGGGGTTCAGTGGGGGTTTTTCATTGTCTGGGGCAAGGCAGCAAAATAGTGATGCAGAGAGGGGAAGGAACAGACCTAATAGTGTTGGGTTGTTCATGCAATATGGCTTAGGTTTAAATCTCCCAGGGCAAAGCAAAGCAGCCTTTGCAGTCTTTTTTGACATTTTTCTCAGTCCCTTCTCCATCCATTTAGGAAACATGAAATCACTCATCCTCTGCCTAGGTATAAAAGAAGTTTGAAGAGTTTATATGCCTGTACCCGCCAAGATGAGGCAAGAAAAAGATTGACTTTTTGCACCTGGTTTCCTAACAACTTATAAGCCAAATGAACAGGGAGAACAACTACGCTCCAGTACCACTGTAGCCTTCCAACTGTGAAAGATGTGGCGCTACAGCTCTCTGCCATTCTCTACTGCTCAAGCTACAGACCCTGGGCAGAAGCTGCTGCGTGGCTACCTGAGGTTTAGGCTTCTGTGTGTTACGCTTGTTAAGCTGCTTCAGAAACTGACTTTGCCTGCTCTGTGATTAAAGCAAACTATCCCCCACTTAGGATCTCCTGGCACTTCAGCTTTCTTTTGGGTTACATGGCATCTTCATAAACCCAGATGAAACTCAGCAGACAACACAAATAAAACCAGCTCTTCCTCTGCAGAAAACCACGAAGTACGGCTAGGGTTTCCCTCACTGCCTTCCACTTTACCCCTCCAGCATTGCTCTCCTTGTACTCTTGCTCTCCCAGGAGCCCACATCGCTCTGTGTTTAGTGGCAGGCGATGAAATCAAACCATGCATTAGCAGCTCCATAATAGCTTTGCTCAGTGGAACCCAGCTTCCTTCATTAATCCAGAAAATGAGAGTTGTTTTCGTACATTTGAGGAGCTAATTATTTAAGTGCTGGGAATTAAGGCTCATCAGATACTGGAGACTGATTTTGGTTTTGCTTCCCAGGGGATGGAACGAGATGGAGGGAAGCTGGTTTTGCACAGGTGTGCAGAACAGTAACTCACCAGTACTTGGAGCAGGGAACAACAGCGTGCAGATCCTTGTCTACTGTAAGCATAAAAGCCCGTCTCTTTGTACATCGCTTTTCTTCCAAACATCACCTGATGATTTTTCCCATTTAAATAGATTTCTTAAGTCACCACTGATCAAATAACTATATTTCTTTTTCTGCTATGAAAAGATGTACCCCACTTGTGTTTCACCTAGCCCGAATGTTTTGCAATAAAACAATAATGCTTTGTCTCAACTGGGTTTTTAGAGAGGGAAACCAGCTCACATCTGTTGTCCTTCTATAATCGCTTGTCCTTCAACCTTACCTTTGCTCACCACACTCAGAGAGGGGTTTAGATAGATCAGCTGCAGTCTAACCTTGCAAGGGACCTTCCAGTGGCTTGGGAAATAGAAGATGAATTGGGTGAAAACCCCCCATGTCTGTGGGAAACCACAGACAAGGACAGATCTGTTGTTATAAACAAAGTTTTTACAACAAAATAACTTTCAACAGTAGATGGATGCTTTTGACATTCTTCCCGGAAAATGACAGAGAATTCATTGATGCTGTTGCCAATAACTATATGCTAAAGAAGGGGATTTGGTTCTGATAGTGTCACTGGACGCATTCACTCTTTATTACAAGCAGCTTGCCAAGAACAATTTTTTCATTTTTACTGAGATAGCCAATGTCCTGTGTTGTCTTCAGAGACTAAGGAAGTGAACTTTTCTGTGTGTTCGGTTGAAGCCAGATGTTAAAGTATTGTCTGGATGTAATTGACTTGACAAATAGCAGGAGTGACATTTTAGCTCCATTTAAGTCAGTGGCAAAATTCCTGTTGAGTTCAACTGGGGCCAAGATTTCATCCTATGACAGTGCTGATGGGAAATCTAACAAATGATCTTCAGAAAAATAAGCTCAGGCATTCTGTTTTTCTGGGACTCTTTTCAACCTATGGGCCGTGAATCCTTGGAATTCTGTGCACTACTTTGAAGAGGTCTGCAAAAAATCACAAAGACAAGAAAGCTTATTGTCAGTAGATTTAAATTAGCTATACAGGGTCCACAATTCCAAGGGAAAACTCGAGGAATCGATTACAAATTTCTAAGTCAGCTCGAGCCATTGAAATCCACCTATATTTGTACTCCTTGGACTAACGAGCATCCTTCTGGCAGGACCTGTGCAGTTGAACTAACCCTTTGACACTGAATACTGTGGATTCAAGAAGCTGCTCTGTCTCCTACACTAGGACTGAGCCATGTGGAAGCCTCTAATCTGGCATCTACCAGGTGCTGTTACCAAAGGATTGGGTTGAAAACCCAAACTTTGTTTTAGAAAAGCTGGTGTTGTGGGACTATACAACCAATTCAGTTTTGTAACAAGGTCAGTATTTTGTCCCTGAGATAAATGAGCAGGTACACAGTGTTCTCCCTACAGACTGTGAGGTGTCTGAAGTATCTCAGATGAACTTTATTGGGAATTAAAGGCAATCAGCTTCAGGCAGAATCATGCAACATAGTCTGTCTATGATATCTCCAGAGGTTTAAGCCCAGCAGCAGACATACAGCCTGATGTGTGTAAAAGGCTTTGGAGTAAGTCATGGTAGTGTTGCTTGGGTGGAGGTTCATAATGTTTAGATGAAAAAAGGCTTGAGCTAGGAAAAAAAAATCACTAGAGATTTAAAAATAGAGTAATTTGAAAATGTTAAAAGTGCTCTGGTTAGGGTTTCATAAATTTTTCCGTGTGGGTTTTGGTAAGTGGAGTTCTTCTGTAAGTTCTTTCCTATTAGATTGTGGGAGAATTTATTTCTTTTAGAGTGCCTGAAAAAATGCGGGAGATGTACTGAGGAATCTTCATATATTATGTATTGGTTATTAGCACGGAAAGTCCTTGTGCTTGTGGGAGCAAATAGACTCACTGTGATGAGAACAGGATGCCATAACTGGATCTAGCATTTTAGCCATATGCACACAAGCTAACTTCTCTGTGTCTCTTACTAGAAGGTGAAATGGTGTTTGCTTCTGGAGACCTGGGCCCAGGGAAAGGGAAAAAGGAAGGTGTGCTGGAGTCCAGCACCTACCACAGAATACCCAAGCTGTGCTTCTCTCCTCTTTATATGGAGAAGTGCCTACTTAGGCATCTGCTTTGATTGCTCTACCAGAAGCAGGATGACACTTAACAAGTATTACTTTATGGCAACATATTCCTGAGTTCCTTTTTCAGTTCTGTTAAGTATGTGCAGAATCCACAACTTTGGAAGCTCTTCAATCCTTGAGTTTCAAACCAGCAAGCAATGCAAGCTCCTGCATAGCCCCCTTCAAATCCACTTCTGGAGCAAAAGTCTTCAGCCTCTTGTAGGTTCAGATTTAAGACAGGTTCGCTTGTAATCCAAGTTTATGTGAGGAATCCTAGATAAATCCTTGATGTTGCTCACACATCTGTTGAAGCGAAAGGTTCATGTTTACTTGAGAACTAAATTTTAACACATATGATGTGGAAAAGTGTGCCCAAGTGATAAAGTAACAATTGATTCATGGCTATCCAGCAGAGTCTAGAAGTGCCACCTTGGGATGACATGTATCAAAGATACAGTTGCTCTGCTTTTCCATGTGAAGAACGCTGCTTCTTCTCAGCTGAGCTATCGTGTAACATAGATGACTCTCTGGAGGAAGAGTCTGCCTCACATTTGCGGTATGTTTTAGCTACTATCAACATTTATATTCCATTGGCATTTGAGGGTAAGCACTAATTAGCATAATCATCAATGCTTTAAAATTAAAAATTCCTCCAAGAGACACAGGAGGGATTGAAAATGTTTCCTGCCCCCAGAGGCAAATCCTTTCCCAAGCTATCTTCTGCATCAAAAGGTTTTATTCTAGAAACATTCCCAAGCTATGCCCAAGAGTAAATTAAACTACAGCAAACTTGTAAACTCTTCTGTGTGCCTGTGTGTGTGTGGCAAGCAGGCCCTGATTTGACAATTACTAAGTGACAAAAAGTTGTCACTATTTTTCACTCCTATTTTGTTTTGACTGTTGCTCTGTGCTGCTGCATCACCTTTACTGTGTGGGCTGGAACAATCAAGAACCATTTGTAGAGTCAGAAGTTTACTTCACAGGAAAGATTTTGGTGTCTTCACAAGACTGAAAGCAAGCAGTTTAATGATCCTGCCCTCTTCCAGAGCTTGCCTATCCCCCCAAGTCAGGAGCTGGCCTCAAAAAATCTCAAGAGCCATTCTTTTGTACACTATTTTAGAGTGAATTTTTACTCTGGCTCCAAAATGATTCATTGACAACAGGAACCTCAGATTGGATTTCTGGCTTAAAGAGACAGGTATTGGTGGAGAATAAGGTGCCAGGAAAACCTTGGGGGAACTTTTAAGTTTGAGAGGTAATGTTCACACCTTGGAAACATCCTCTAAGAGTCAATCTTTACATTTCTGCCTTTGGGAGGTGATGGTGGGCTTCAGCTCCCATTGACAGCTGGTGTGGTCAAGGATGGGTGTCCTACATGTGGGTCCCTTTTGTCTCAAAAAATGCTTCTCAAACCCTCAAGCAGGTCTGCAAGTGATGGGCCATGAAACCTCAGGGAGCAGGAATAGTTAAATGTTGTCGTTGTTCTTGAACTGGCCAGAGATAAAAATTAGTGTTCTTCCAAAGGAAGTATTTCTTTGAGAGGGAAACCCTAACAGATGCTGGTGTTTCTTAAAAGAAAACAGTTGTGTTTATAAACCCACAATTCTTGTTATCTCTGCATAGGACAAACAGCACCACACCCTACACTGAGTAAACACGGGGACTCTGCAAAAAAAGAGTGGCACAGAAATCTCCATGATAATTTCAGAATCTGCAGGGCATTAAACATATGTATTGTCTTTTGGGTATCCTATTTTTTCAGAGATGGACTTAAATTTCATTGGCAGAAATTCTCTCTTTTATCTTTATCTCCTGTTTTGATGTGGTAGCCATGGAGAAAAAACCCAAGATTAGTAACAGTAGGTTGTTGCAGAATAAGAATAACTCTCTACTTGGATTTAGACTGTAGTAATATTGGGGGGTTTGTTTAGCTGGAAATACTCAGATCGCATAGAATAAACACTAGACACTGTTAGGACATTAATCACCCATCCCATTCACTTCTCTCCACCTTGAACTAAACACTGGTAATCCTTAACTTCTGTTTATTCTGAGGGATGTTTTTCACAGGGTAGGGGGTGTGTCTTTATGACTACTGCTTTTGAAAACAATGGTTAGTTCTCCTGAAGGTCAATGTGTTTATACTTTTGCTCTCCTACAGACATCAGGGTACCTGGACCCTTGGAATTTGAATCAGTTTGGCTAATAGTGAATGAAATGGACCATGTTCTGGAGCTGAGATGCCTTGAGCTTCAAGAGAAAGCCAAATTCAAAAGTACTATTTTAACAGCAGTGTCTAGCAGTGAGTTTCCAGCTTCCCTCTGGAAGCCCATAGTGAGAAACTTTAGATAAAGGAAGGGGGTGGTGAGTCTTTTCTCAGAGAGCCTAGTTTGGTGGTACTGTGGGCTAAGAAAGCAAGAC